TTTGTTGCAGGGTTGAAGACGGCAGCCATGAGCTGAGCCTCATTCACATCCACCCGTCACGTTTAGATGCTGATGACCAAAACTGCCAAGACTAAAGGCTTTGACACCATGATGCATTACAAGGCTGCATCCATCTTATATAAGCTCTGTGAATCTGTCTGTACATTTAAAAAAATATATCTCTCTATATATAATTTTCATCCATAAATGAGCTCAGAGAGCAAAAAATCTGAGCCAGTTCCGCTGCACCAGGTCATCCTTGTTACAAGACCAGTTTCCTTAGACAACTTTTTCCCTGTCCGTTCCCTAAAAGTCTTATCTAAATTGTTGTTCCTATAAAACTAAAGATAAACTAGAGAAATTGCATTTCCTGCAAAAATGCAGTGTGAATGCTTATTGCTAATGAACTTGCTGAAAAACTGCTGAAATGAGCTAAAACGTGCTGAAATATAGCTGAAAAGGAAGAACAAGCCTAAGAAAGCAGAAAGAACACATATTTGCTGAATTTGGTTTAAATAAGCAGAAATTAGCACAAAATTAGTAAATTAGCTCTAAAAGTTGAAATTAGCTACAAAAAAAAATAGCTGAAAAGTAGCCTGAAATGTAGAAAGAAGCTTAAGTTAGCAGAAGGAAGTGGAGAGTGCACAACTGTGCTCAATTAGGCTGAAAAAAGCAGAAATGAGCACGAAAAAGTTGAAATTATCTTAAAAAAGCTGAAACTTGTAAAAAAAATAAAAATAAAAAAAAAACAGCTGAAAAGTGGTTAAAATAGCAGAAAGAAGCTTAAATTAGCAGAAGGAAGTGGAGAGTGCACATTTTTGCTGAATTAGGCTGAAAAAAGTTAAAACACGAGTGCAAAAAAATGTGGAATGACAGCTGAAAAAGCTAAAATAAACATAAAACAGCAGGAAAACTGCTGAAATTAGCAGAAATAATTTGAAAAGTTTAAATTAGCACAAGGAAGCTGAAAGAAGCTGAACCTGAACAAAAAGTGAAAGGAGCAGTAGAAGGATGTAAAATGAGCTCAATTCATTTTCTATGAGATGAAAAAAAAGTCAGAAAAGGCTTTAAATATTTCAAAAAGCTAAAGTTGCACCAATACCTAAAATCACAGCAGGATT